AGTTAGTTACACAACAAAGTTATTGCAAAGTTATTGCACTTAAATACACTACAACTACAAATTCAGTCAAAGTCAAAGTCAAAGGACCTCGGAAAAACGTCGAGAACAGAATTCAAAAACATTTAAAAGTACAAATAGAAAAAGGTCACTTTTTAAAAAGTTTCTAGGCGCTAGAAGTAATTTTCTCCATAAGAACGATGCTCGGGGAATTATTTGAAATTTCTGGCCACTAGAAGTCTTTTTCCAGAAAAATATCATAGATATCATTATAGATAAAATATCATAGATATTTTTATGATATATCAATTTTCATCCAAAATGCGCAATTTTTCATCCAAAAGTTTAAGAACATATAGGACAGAGTGTGAATAAAATGTGCGTTGAATATTTGATAAATTGTAATAAATTCAAAATGCCAATAGAGCAAGTGTCTAATCATATTATTTTGTTTTATTTCATTTTATGGGTTGGCTGTTAAAGACATACACTCAAAACTGGCCAACTACATGCCAAATGAATTAATATAATAGTAAAATATCAAACATAGCCGCTATTTTTAATCTAGATAAATCATGTCAACTGTAGGACTTGGTGTTATTCATAGCCGAGTCTAACTGAACACTCACCAGCAAACCTTTCACAACTCACCATTGAGGTTAGGTCACGAGAACTTCTTTTAAGCTATTTGAGAGTAAAATCGAACATCTCAACAACTGCAGCGGTCCAAACGTCGGGATGGGAACGTGAACAATTTTACTCGAGCGTCGTTTTTTCCTGACATTCCTGCAATTTTTCTCCCCCAGTTCGGTGAAGATCAAACCTAGAACATATCCCACACACAATAGGCAGTCATCCACACGAATCGTAACCAAACGTTGCCATATAAATATCTAAAAACACTCCTCGCAGGAGGCAGAGTTTTTTGCTCTTGTTCCTTTTGGGTCCACAAAAGAATTTGACTAGAAACAAGCTACCGGGTCCCGACACAAAAAGACATTTATATTTGGCATGTCCTTTTGACACGTCGTGACGTCAATGAGAAATGCACATACTTCACCGGGTTTTAAAAAAAGAAATTCTTGAACAAGAAGGGAATAATCATTTTTAAGGCATTCAATGCAATTTCAGGCGGGAAAACAAAAGATATTCTGGATGTCTGATATTGACATTTACTGTCATTTCTTAGCATATTTTCGTCATCATTTCATACTTAAAGCGTTTGAAATAATCCCAAAACAAGCTATGTGAGGAATCTCTTTATTTGTGCTAAGGGATAGAATTGACTACATTACAAGAATAACCAGAAAATTGACTTTGAAAATCCAGTTTTGCCACCCTGAAATTGCATAGGATGCCTTTAAAGCCTTCCTAGCATTCTAGCTATGTTAAATCCTTAAAAGAATCTTCGTCGATACATAAAAATTCACAGAACAGTTGTCCCAAAGAGTTGACAAAATGACCACTGATAACGAAAAGACGGATGTGAGTTTAAGAGCAGTGCGACGGAAGGATAATTCCACCTTTACATGACTGATAATTTATCAGGGTGATAAATTTGCGTGTTGCCAAAGTGATAAATGAAACACACACGGTAACGGTTTGATAAGAATGCCCGGATGTGGAAGGATATCACAGAAAGAATGCGTTCACATTTTGGCGTTCATATAGAGAGTAAAAACTAAGTACCTAATACCAACCCAGAAAGCAACAAGAAATAACCATACCTTTAAGTACCAGAGTTATCAACCAAGGATTGAGGTGTTCAAAAACTCATTATTTCCTAGAACTATCGCAGAGTCGAATTCGCTGTCACCAAGTACTGTATATTCTAATGATTGTTTTCAATAAAAAAATGTTTTTGCAACTTTTTGAAATTTTATTTTGTACAAAATTTATCTTATACAAGGGAATCTATGAACGTATTCAATAATCGTTGAAATTTACTCAGTTGTTTTTTTTCACACATATATCGTTTTTCTCAATATGACAGAAAATGATATATATTTCCCGATGTGGCTACATTTGTATGTATGTTTGTCGTTCTACCTATCCTAAAAAACGGCTAAATGCGTAATAAAACAATTACAGTTAGCTAATAGAAACAGAGAATCTGCTAACTGTAGGATAGGAATGTTTGAGTAAGGTATACGTGTCGTTTTAATACCGCTTCGCCCCCCACCCCCCTTTTGCGTGACCCGTTACAATTTGACCAAGCTATATGTTTGAGCCAGGCTTCCTTTGTACATTGTACTTGTTTTATCAAGTTGTTTTTAATTGGCCTCTCAGTCGACACTTAAGTCCATTTCTTGTTGTTAATAGCGTTGTCCTTTTCTGCAATCTGTGCCGAGTATTTGTTTTTCACACCGAATTAAAAGTTTGCGATGACTACATAATTACCGCGATAGGTAATGGCAGGCTGTGTACTTAACCCACTAGGAGCCATCACATGAAGTGGGAATGCATACAGCCGAATTCCTGTACAGGACGGTACGTTATGTATACCAGGGGCGGGGGCGCGAATTCCTACGGGGGATGGTACGTTATGTATACGAGGGATGGGGCTCTGAAATATTATTCTCAGAGTACAAAGATGGTAAATATATTTTATTTTAAAATTCTGGGCTGCTTCAAACCATTTTAAGTTTGATTGAATGATCGATGTGTACGCACAGGTAAAATTTGCCCTGTCGAAGCCACACACCTGTCTATCATACTAACGGTCTTTCCCCGCCCTTCGCACAAAACAAGTGTCCTCAGCAGAACGAACATCGATCCCAAATCGTAGCAAATCGGACGTTGTAACGTTTTTATCGACCGACGTGGGGAGCCTGGTAACCTCTACCAGTATGTTATCGCTAGAGAGAGATAACGTACAGTTTGCCGCTCCCGAAACCTGTAATGGATCGGGAACGGTAAACTGTACTTTCCAGCGGACCTGAAATCCCTTTAGCATGTTATCTCTCTCAATTTGGCCGAATTCTACTCTCTCCAGCCGCCTACCGAAGCCTGGTAGAGGCCAGGGAGTCTGGCACCTCGGGCAGATAAGCGTCGGCCTGCGGGCTGGCAACGCGCCACGCCGGGCACGTGGGGTGTTCTCCGTCCCGTGGGTGGAGATCGAGGGGGCGAGCTCGATAGCCTGTACTTCTGCCTACCACAGCAGTAATATCACATCGTCTCCACGCCAACGGCCTTCCGAAAAGTGCTCACCGCTGCAGAACTTCTCTCGTGGGCGAAAGTTACTCTCCAAGCAGAGATTGTGGCGGAATGATCGTTAGCTTTTTATACATGGCCGTTTTTTTGTCGCTACCCCCACCAACCCGTCGGTGGCCGGCGACCTTCTCTGGCTAATGGATACTGCCTGGCCAATTTGATACTGTCTTTTTGCCACCGAAAGAGATCTGCTTGGAGATTAGGCGAAAGTAAGAAAAAGTTCGCTACCGAGTGAGTACGGGACCTCTAGGTGTCAGAGGGCCGGCCCTATGGCCCTTGATCCCGGGTAGGGTACATCCGGGTGGCCCGGGGAACAAGCTAAGTGTTCCTGTACCTGTCAATTTCACGCCCTGCACCTCTCCTCCTGTGTACATGTAAAGTTTCCCCAGGACAACAAAAGGTTTCGGGTGTTAACTGTCCGCTAAGGCAGCCCCTTAACCCTCCCCCTCCCACCCTACTGAAGGGGCGACCTGGTCGGTTTGAATGGTACCTGCCAAGTACGTATTGACACCGACCTGCGGAAAACACAAGCCGACAGGTGGGAAAATAGATGCACGGGTCAACATGGAGGGGCGACCAGAAAATGTATCATGTTTTATAAGTGTGCATACACACGTTTTACATGTGTACTATAGTATAGGACAATTCTCACACCGTTAAGCCATACACAGCAAAAGATTATAGCCTATTTCCTTCTGATTTTCTCTCCTCTTACATATAAAAGAATTCTACCACCACACAAAAATATGATAATTGCTTCCAGGCATTTTATTTTACTCAGCAAAATAACTCTTTATGATAAAGAGCAATGCCGTATTTCTTAGCACCTGATACAATACGCAGGACACAATAAGCGAAGTAATGGCCATTTGAGGCTTGCTGTAAATTCCATAACAGCAATTAACGCGTTCGCAGCTGTAAATCACAGCTAGGGTGGCGTGACCTTGTGTGGGGTAAGGTCAATGTTCTGTCAGTCACGTATTTTAACAGTCCTAAACAGGCAATCTTGTGCTTCAGAGTTTGTCAGAACTACAAGTGCGTTAAGAGGAATGTTTTACTGAAGTTTTGGTGGGGTGGGTTTTTAGCAGGTGGTCGGGACATACTAACTTGTGGAACACCTGATACCTGAGACACCTGCGAACTTTGGCCCGAAGTTTAGGGCTGATATTCCGTGCTTTTGGAACGTGTCTTTTGTAGGAACAGACGTCGTTTTAGGCTCGCGTAAGGTCGCCGTCCAGGAATGTCCATCCTTTTCTAAATCACGGGAAAAACCAGTCACAATAAACACCGCGGCCATGCCCGGCTCGCCTTTGAGGCGGGTGTTGTGGGTATCTGGGTGGCCGGGACGGACGGGCCTATAACAGTAGCCGGCACAGAAGGCACGCCGGTCCGCTTGACAAGCCAAGCGGCAGGCAGGCAGGCAGTTCTACAGGTAGTGTGTCTACTGAAGTGATGTTATCAACGTCCGGAGCTACCATGTCGTAAGGGGGGGAGGGGGTACTCGTGATTACACACGTCCCTGTTTCTGGGAAATATGTCCGGAATGCCCCCAACCTGAATCATCGCCAATATTAGCGATGATCGATCGAAGTGGGCGGAGTTTAAAGGTGAAACGTAGTATCGTGTGACGATGACGTTTGGTTTTTTTTCTTCCTTTTTCGGTGGTGCGATTCTTTCTGGTTCTTTCGTCGTCGGGCATAATTTTTGGTGTGTGCTTTGTTTGGGCGGGGTGGATTATAAATTTGCTCAGTGACGGGGGTCGTGCAATTTTGGGTCGGCACAGGTAGAGGCATGCCCGGTATGCGGTCCCTGACCACACCGCCGCTGGCAGAGCGGCACGGGGTGATTTCTGTTTTTTTGGGTGGGGGTGGGGGGATCAAAAACCGCCCACTGGAAACTTTCAGCCAATGAGATGTGCTGTCGGCGGGCAGAGCCAGGTGACACCGTGTATAATTAATTACTCAGTCGTCATGCCGTGTGCGCCCGAAGATAAGAGGGACTCGAGCCCGCTGCGTGATTACGAAATATGTGCAAGGTCGGACTGACAAAATCATGTCGCCTGCTAGTTGCTTACTTGGAGTACTTCTGCTGTGGGACCTGATACCCCGCCCGGACGCCCTATCGTACTTCGGGTGAGTGTCCCCTCGGCGCCTCCTCGCGTCCCGTCCCGCTCGTGTCGTCCAGAGCGCCCGGCACGACCGTCGGGCCCCGTGCTCAGCCCGTAAGAAACCGTGTAAACCCCGGCTGCGGCTCCGTTTACAATGTATACACATAAATCCGCGATTTTTCATTCATTCGTCCTCCGTTACAGATTAACCGGGAGGGAGCCTCTGATGGTGCTACCGCTCGGGGTGGACGACATCAACGCTCTGCCGCCCGTCAAGATCTGCGAGAGCTTCAAACTGAAGAGGAAACAGCGGCGGATGTGTAAGCGGGACGCCGGGGTGGCTGAGACCCTGGTGGAGGCCATGCACATGTCTGCCCGGGAGTGTCAGCACCAGTTTCACAACGAGCGCTGGAACTGTACCCTGGGCAAGACACGACTCAACATGCTGAAGAGAGGTAAGTCAGTCGCGTCAACACTACACTACAAACAACGCAACAACAGCATGAGTCGTTCCCCTCGTATCGTCGGCATCTATGATTTATGTGGACCGGCTCGCGACCACGCTGACTGGGGCTCGCCGCTGTGTTGATGGTTCGTTAGTGGTTGGCCATCGCCCGGCCGGCTCGAATGTCTCCCGCTGATCAAGTATATACAGTACCGCCGGGCCGTGTTATACACCTGTAGCCTTCCCCGGGACCTCCCGGTAAACATACTGTAACGTCCCGGCTGGTTTAGTAGCGGGTGTTGGATTGCCCTGTACTGTTAAATCGCCGTCTGACTCGACTGTTGCCGTTCAACATGTAACGACAGACGTCAGTGTAGTGTAGTTACCATGTGTACCAATGGCACCTCTCACTAACGTTTATACAGGGAGACTCACGGAAAAATGGTGGCGACACCTGCCGTGTAAAAACGTTGCCTAGTTGTTGTGAAACTTCTAAGCGTGTTCTCTGGCTTGGTACGTCCACTAGAACACGTGCCATGTAGAACACTGGGTATACAAAATGCTCATCAAAAAGTACTTACAGGAATCATAAGCTGGCAGTGTGGCAACTTTTCATCGATTTTATGTTGTTGTTTCAATCCCTGTTGTCATACAAGATAGCCCCTTGCGATCGCTATGCTTGGTAGGCATTTTTTCTCGGTCAACAAATCCCCGCCTACACAGTGGAATTATTTTTAAGGGGCAAAGACTAGCCTGTATTGTGTTTTTCGGGACTGACAGCTACAATCTAACAATAGACTGTGACTTCAACTTTAGCCTTGGGTTCAAACTAATCATAAGTCATTATGGATTATCCAAAAAATTGCATCACCTTGTTACAACAGCAGTGTCTGTGAAAATGTAGAAATGTTAAAATTGCTTTACTTTCTAGACATGTTTGTTGTCGGTAGCAGAGTAGTGCTACTGAATGGAAACTATAGTTCGCTGGTTGCGTTGTGCACCACTACACACCAGAAAAATCGTTCAAGTTCGTCCAAAGTGCTTGCACTGTAAAGTCTGATGTTGTTCCACGCTGAAGCTCTATTTATTTTCCTTGCATCTCAGGGCTGTATTCACCGTGCTTGCTTTTGGCGGTGACGCTTTCATGTGCAAATAGTTACGTGGCCTGGCAGATCTTTTAAGCGCCTTGCGTGTTTTCTAACATCATCCTCTTGTATCGTTCACGGTTCTATATTCTAAAGCACGCTACACATTTTCTTTAGAACGCTTTGGGCTCAAAATTACGCCACACTAATTGCACTGGAGCAACAGATGTTTAGCAACACCTTTTGGAAAAGAAATCATTTTAAAATTTAAAACTTGTTCTGATTTCTAGATGTCGCTGAGGGGCGAAAACGTTCACGCGACAGAAACCGTGAGTTTCGTCTCTTCTTTCTTGTTCTGCACGCTTGTTTCTTTTTTGTGAAAACTTGTAATTGCTCTAAATTACTGTCCCAAAAGGGCTATGTGGTCTGAGTGAAAGCAGAAACTAGACCGGCCCGAGAAACCAAATCGCGATGTAGGCTCCTTTTGATCAGTATTCGGAGTTGAAAGATGGGGAGTAAAATGAAGGGTCGCCGCTTTTGTTTCCCCTTGTTTCCCCACAGTTGTCAGAGCATGTGTTCGGCGGAAAAAAACGTCCTACGAAACACTCGATGCTAAGAAAACAGCGGATAATAGGCGGGATTTGGTGGATGTTATGTACCTATCTCCTTTTAATCCCCGCACCGCCGGACTAACCGTAACACCTCGGCGGTTCTCCCAACACCGCTTTTTACCCCTTTTTTTCAAGTGCAGTGACTTGTCACAATCTGTTGATTACCAAGTAGTGGTCTATACAGACCCGGCACAGCCTATTGTGACTACAATTGCTGTCCAAACAATGGAGTCTCGGGCTTTTTAGCGCCCAGACCAAGCGGAAAACGATGTTTATTCGATCCCCTTTAAGGCCCCCCTCCCCTCCTATGTAATGTATATTTGTGTCCCGTTAAAACCGTCCTGAACAAGTGATGATAAGCAAGCGATAAACTCGTTATCACAACCGTGTTAATAACTGCGGTTATATCTTTGTAAGTGATTTACCGGTATATCACTTGCGCTTGCAGTATGTATAAATGCCCTGTTCTCAATTTTTTTTCGTACGTCTGTTTGGCCTACAGGAAGATGTGGGCTCTGTAATTGTTACACAGTAGCGAATAAGATAAATAAGATATGTACAATGTAAATATATGAAGTATACATTCCTACTAAATGCGTACGAACAACATGCATGTTGCGGCTGCATTTGCTACTAGTATATCGTATTTTCGCAATTTTCACGTGTGTCTCGGAAGTATAACCTGTTATGCTGTATCCTCTATAACGATATGATAGAAAGAAAGTGTTGTCTGGATCTCTACTAAAATGTGGCTAGCTGCATTTGCTTTTCCGTATTCTAGTATACGTATTTTCCTACGTAATGTAGGTATAACCTGTTATGTTAATCCTGTATATCAGAAAGTGTTTTCTAGGTTTCTACTAAATGCGTAGAACTTTGCATGTTGCGACTGCATTTGCTATTCCGTATTTTAGTATACGTATTTTTTTTACGTAATGTGCGTTTAGGTATAACCTGTTACGTTCGTCCTGTATATCTACAGTGTTGAAAGAGAGTGTTTTATGGGGTCCTAGCAAATGCGTTGAACTTGCATGGTGCGGCTGCTTTTGCTATTCCGTATTTTAGTATACGTATTTTTTTTTTACTTATGCTCGTATAAACTGTTATGTTAGTCCAGTATATCTACAAAGAAAAGAAAGGAGGGGCGAAAGAGAGTGTTTTCGTATGTTGCGGCTGCATTTGTTATTCCGTATTTTAGTCATTTTACTTATGTGCGTTTAGGTATCACCTGTTATGTTCGTCCTGTATTGAAAGAAGGTGTTTTGTGGGTTTTCAGGGTTCAAGGAGACGGCCTTTCTGTATGCCATATCGTCCTCGGGGCTGACCCTACTAGAGTAGTATGCATGTTGCGGCTGCATTTGTTATTCCCTATTCCGTATTATTTTTTTTACCTAAGTACGTTTAGGTATAACCTGTTATGTTCATCCTGTATATCTACAGTGTTAAAAGAGGGTGTTTTGTGGGTTTTCAGGGTTCAAGGAGACGGCCTTTCTGTACGCTATCTCGTCCTCGGGGCTGACCCACGCGCTCGGGCGGGCGTGCTCGAGCGGCAAGCTGGAGCGCTGCACGTGCGACGAGAGCTTCAACGACATCGACAACCGCGAGACGTGGCTGTGGGGAGGGTGCGGGGATAACCTGAAATACTCTCGGAAATTCGCGCGGCAGTTCCTCAGCATGAACAAGGCTGAGGAGCAGGACTTGCGAGCGGCCGTGGACAGGCATAACACCAACCTGGGCATCCGAGTGAGTACCATAGTAGTACTGTAATACCTCTCTCCTCTAACGTGTTAGTACCATAGTAGTACAACCTCTATTCTCGAACGTGTTAGTACCATAGTAGTACAACCTCTATTCTCGAACGTGTGGGCACGGAAAGGTACTCTCCAAGCAGAGGTTTGGGGCTATTTTTGGCGTGTTTTAGGGGTTTCTTTTTTTGCACTGGAATTTTTGGTTGGGTTGGGTTGAAAAAAAATCCAGTGCAAAGAAATAAAACCCGATAAACAGCCTAAAAACACGCCAAAAATAACCAAAAACCCAAACCTCTGTTTAGCTAGAGAGTAACGAAAAGTGTCGTTCTATCATTGTCCCCTTTGTACACTCCTATAACAAATATAATGACTACAGGACAAAATGCGAATACATGTATCTTGCTATCATCCTGATGTTATCAAACATCTATTAATAAATACACCTTTTCCTATGACGCAGAATAGTTTAGCGATATCAGCAATATCAATATTTGCAAGTTAATATTAGTTTTAAGGTCATACGAGCAATGCATTTTTTTAAAACTAACATAGCATCCATGCACTACTACACATATGGTATGTTCTTACATGAACAAAACGTAAGGTAGGACTGGGTCTTAAACAGGGGTGCCAGAGTGTACAGTGCAATTTTACGGAATACAGTGCAATTTACTAGTATACAGTGCAATTTTACGGAATACAGTGCAATTTTACGGAATACAGTGCAATACTAGTATACAGTGCAATTTTACGGAATACAGTGCAATTTTACCAGTAAAATTTCACTGTATAATACTACGATTGCACTATATTCCGTACAATTGCACTGTATACTAGTAAATTGCACTGTACACTCTGGCACCCCTGTTAAAGTCAAAATCAAGATACGACAACGTGTGGAAAGGATAGTAATCGTAGAATCTGGCAAATAGAACTATTTACTCTCCCTATTTGGGTCCGTATCCCCTGTATTGAGATCCGCGCGTTTCTTGTAACATGAGGCGGATGGATAGGAAGTGATTTACCCAGACTAGGAAATCTCTCCGCGCGAGACTTGGCAAACGAGAGTGATGACAAGTCGGCCAGATAATGAACAGGTGCTCCTTCCTCCGGGGTTAGGTAAGGTCCTAATCCGGGTTTGTGTGAAAACCACTTCTCCCTAAAGAAAATAAAAAAGAAGCCCGCCTGGAAATAAGAATTAAACGGTTTAAGAAATGTTGAGTGAGAAGGGGTGGGGTCTATATGACTCTTTCTTGGAAAATCCGGTCATGGTTTGGGTTCTTTTTTATTCCAAAAAAGGAAGATTATAAACGTGACGTTTTCTCCTTATTTTGCACGATTACTCTTATAGTTATTTTGCTTCCAGTCCTGGAAATAAAATTAAAGGGTTTAAGAAATGTTGAGTGAGAAGGGGTGGGGCCTACATGAATCTTTCTTGGACAAAACGGGAATGGTTTGAGTTTGTTTCTTTATTCCATAAAGGAAATATGTATATACATTTCAAAGTTTATTGCAAATTCTTGCCCTCAGGCTAATTGCAAGTACATGTATCATGAAAATAAGGATGGACAACGGATAACAATACTACTCTAACTTCTAAACACTAAATTCTAACTTATTGGGTTTGGCTTTTTTCCGAGACAGTGGAGGACGAATGATCCCACTTTTTCTATAACGTGTGGGTTTTGTGATGTTAAGAAGAGAGCAGTTCACATTTTGTAATTTTCACTGTAATTTTGATTTATGTAGATTGTAGAAAGTATGTCAGTATTTGGCCTGTGTTATTTGTGTGTGGTACTGGTTGATCCGGCTCCCAGCCATGATACCTATCACACATCACCCTGCATGACTGACCACTCAACAATCTCACCCAAGGAAGAAAAAATTCTCAGCCTCGACTCTCCCTTTTTCTGATTAGCCTATCGGTTCTTAAAGTCTTTTACACATATCTGCACAAGACAATTAAGGGTAAATCCTCCCCTTTCCCCTTGAAATGGTTTAATTTTGGGGGTGAGATTAGGCTGGTATGCCCGGGTTGTGTGGAGTCGGGTCGGTTCCCCTCGAGGAGAGACGGCCGGGGCTTTTCAGAGAGAAGCGAAAATATTTTTCCAGTGGAGGAGGAGTGAATAAGTGTAGTCAGGTGTAGCAAACAGAAAAACATGGGAAAAGTAGCCGTTTGGCTTAGGTTTCGGGCGAGTCTTTTGTGGCGGTGGCGGCTGAAGGGCCGTGCCGTTTGCGTAGCTGCCGTGCGGGGATAATGCCGGGGTGAAGAGGCTGAGACCCGCTGAATACGCCGTGTTGTCGGTAATTGTATTAAGACAGCAGGTAATCCTACCCTCCCAGTCACCAATTGGAATTGTTGCCCGGTCGACATGACAACGAACCAATTTTTTGTCAGACGATTTGACAGAGAGAGAGAGAGGGGCAAATTGGGAACTCAGCCGCTGGAACCTCCATTGTGTCCTCTTAAATGAGATCCACGAATCTAGTCGCTTTCAAACTTTCCTAGGTGTAACTAGTGACTCATACAGATAAAAAAGAACAAATCCTCACTAGAGATGAAGTAGCTAGTGTGAAAACGCGTTTAACTATAGTCTCTGGGAGTGTCCTTGGTTCTATGTGTCCGTCGCCCATCTAGAAGTTGGTCCTGTACATCTTGCATGCATGCTTGCCCCGTGCCATCGCCCTTGGGGGCCAAACTCTCAAATTTCCCCCCGGAAAAATTCCGAACACTCTTGTTGTATCCTCAACGAAATTTCATCAGTTGTGGGAACCAATGTCAAATTCTCTCTACAAACTTTCATCATAAGTCATAATTGATGTTTAAGTTGTAAAAAGTGTCTAGTGGGGCATGTAGCTGTGAAAGAATTTACAGGTGGTCGTATCTTTCAAGAAAACAATATTTTTCAAAGAATTGCCAAAATGAAACGGACACACTGAAATTTACAAGAGAGCCCAGTCAACAAGAAAATATGTTATTCAAAGCACTTGATTAATTCTTATTCTATAAAGCAGTCCTTTCAACATAGATATTAAAAATAAAAAAATCTGTATGTTTCACAAAGAAGCGATTTAAAGTATTGACAAAGGCACATGTGTCGGCATCATCTTCTAAAGCTTTCAACTTGACGTTTAGCGCATGTAAGACAACATCGCTTTTTTTAAAGATAGATATCGGAAGGAATATAATAGGGTTAACTGTAGGGAAAGGAGAGTTATTTGTGGTTCAGGAGCTTTCTGTGTGTTCAACGTAGTGGAAGATATGCTCTAGGGCATAGAAAGAAAAAGCCTTATTTTTCTTCTTTTTTGGCTGTACAGAACTTGGAAATTTAAGATTTTGACAAGTGGGTATATTCATAATTCCAAGATGAACAGAATAAAAGAAAGACTGGCTAGGAGAAAGAGAGCCTGGAATGAAAAACGAGCGAGGCAGTGGTGGTTGAAAGAGGAGAAAGCTAATGTTCTTGTTTATAATCTCGTTGTAAGAGTGTTGAAGAGTTGTGCCTTTGTCGGTAAGACGAGAGGTGTACACGAACCGACAACAAGCCGCGCAAAACGAACACAAATAACGGACAACTGTCAACAGTCGGGTCCAACCCTCAACATAGCTTTTTTGTACCCTTTTCTGTACGGGCCAAGGGTCAGCGGGAGTATATACTCTCTAGAGTGACAGAACGTGGTGCTTTTTACGTCAATGTGGGAACAACGAACAGCTAGTGCATTTTAGTACAGTAACGGATATTTTGTCAGGTCATAGCCACAGTCGTTTTAGATGTATAACATTTATACAGCAATATAGACCTTGGTAAGCAGCATCACTGTCAAAAAGTGTCATCAAAAACAAAGAAAATATACCACTTTTAAGTATTCTATTAATATTTTTATGAATTAACAAATGTTGTGATGATACTCTTGGACAAAACTGTTGCGTCATCCATTGTTGCATACTACACATGTTCAAGCTTTTAACATTTTTTTCACTACCAAAAACGAGGGACGTGGCCGTTGTTAGGTTACTGTATGCACGATTGATACGAATGTAATGGAAACATGTAGGAATGGGGGAGGGGGGCTAATCATCGATCTTTGAGCCTCACGCCTCGGTTAACATTTAACCACCCTGCTATTTTCGTACGTTGTTTTTATAACTTGGTACATAGTGACAGTACACAGGTATTTTCCACCAAACACCTAACACACAAAATATCGATTTTTTTCCAGTAAAGAAATGGAAAAAATGTGTAGACTGTCTCCCGCAAACCTGAGAAAGATTGTAACTCCCTACTATATACTCTCTTTATATGCACCAGAAAACTTAAAAGCAAAAGTTGAAGATGCTATGTTGTATAATATTCAGATATCTAAGCAACATTATCCGCATATAAAACCACATAATGAACAACATTTCTTTGCTTATCTACCAAGAGATTGCTCACCACAATAAACTGTTGCTAACGTATTTTGTAGACTCGTAAAACCAGGTATGAAGAGTGATATATCATGTACTATCGGCCGCCCAAAATAAGAGAACAAACAGACGTCCTTATCATTGATTAATTGCGGCATACTTCAGCGGCCCGGATAGCGTCGTTTATCATGGAGAAACATAATTTGACCCGGTTGAACAGTCGTCCGATTATCGTACTGTTGTCGTCCTGTTTGTAGGAACAACCGATATACTATAACATTTCGACATACTAAAGAGTGACTTTAGATAGGCTCAATGGCATGCCAAAAACTGGGGTTTTTGGGGGGTCTTCAGGGTCTTAGGTTTTATGTAATATTTTCTGATTGCATATAGACAACATAGCCAGCCTGGTTGAATTACCCCCGCTTTTTAGAACTGGGCTAATCCGAAAACAGCCGAAGACCACCAAACCCCTAGTTCTATAAGCCTGCTACGGAGGCTAGACTATAGAGTAGAATCTCAAAAACTAGCTATGTAGCTAGAAAATAGCAACACATACTAGAAAGTTCGTCCCCCTATTCAAATCTTGATACATGTCGTAACGTCTTTTACCTTCAATGTAACACGTGTAGTGTGCGTATGTAAATTATCTTCTGTTCTATATGAACATGGTGTCAGCGGTGGGATAGTCCGGTATTTACAGTACTGGTTACACTTTTGTATCTTAATACTAGAATGTTGATAAGCCTTTCGTTTCTACAATCATACCCCAACAAGACACACCCAAGACTACATGTATATAATCTATGAACCAAAAGAACGACTGATTTAGACGATTTAACAACAAAACTGTGATCTAAAAGATCGAGTAGAGCAACGTATGCTAAAACATAAACGGGCCCGCGTCATCACTTCGTCTCACAGACGAGTTAATGTCTGTTTGGAGGGATTTCCTGACTTTGAGACGACTATGTCACTCCTCACACGGTGCGTGTTGAAGGCGGAAACCCAACCCTAAATCGCCACAACTCCTTAACGAGTCATCACACCTCACGTCTTTAAGAAAAGGTCAAGACTAAATTGATCTTAAACCACTCTCCATCTCCAAACGTCTGGCTACAACAAATGACTCACAACATCTTATTTTTTAAGATATCTACAATTATTTTTAAAGACATCCATCACTTCAAGAATAACTATCAACATGAGTTTTCATAAAGTTTTATGTATCTATGTATACAATACACCCAGCTTTGTCTATCGTATATAGCCTCTACCAGGCTTCAGAAGCGGTTGGAAAGAGTAGAAATTAGCCAAATAGACGCATAACATGCCAGGGACCTGGGCAGCAAAGGGAGTACGTTTGCCGCCTGCAAATGTACTATAACTCGTATACGTAGTTTAACTTTAAGGCATCAATGAATTAAGCTATTCAAGTCATGTAAGGAAGCAATAGCTAGTCGCGTTTGTTGTACTTTTTGGCATATTTTTGGTATAGCTTCTTGCTTGGAAACGTAGTATTTTAGTCACCATATCTACACCAACAAAACACGTCTAAAACGAATTTCAGATGTCCATGTATTGATGGTAAGGGTCATGGCATCACCAGACATGGCAATTGTCGGTTTTAGTGGAGAAATAATCCCACGATTTCTTCCTGAAAACTCTGACGACAAGTTACCGAGATACCATCATCTTATCTTAAGCTGTGTGATTAAGGTGGTGGTCTCGTCTTGCCATATCTGCCACTAAGATACGAAGAAGACAACAATAAACAAGCAAACAAACAAACAAACAAACAAGAAAACAAGTGCAGCATGCTGTACCAAAGATACACACAAGCAATTTCATTCTAAATTAGTAATGAACGATCAGCTGTCATTTTTCTTTGACCATCATCTGAGCGAATATTGTGTTTCGTGGGGCCGTGTGGCGTAGCGGCAGATTGCTCGACTCGGAACCAAGAGGTCCCGGGTTCGAGTCTTGACATGCCACCGATCTTGTCACACACCCTTGGGAAAGGCACTTTACACGACTTTCCTCACTTCCTCGAAAATGAGTATTGTATTGTCCCTGTGTTCGTGGCAGCATTAATATAAGTTAAAAAACTTGAGTGTGTCTCCACCACGTCTTGTGACTACATGTTGGAATAAAAAAAAACACGCTAAAATAAGCCGAAGCCTAAATTTCTGCTCGAAGAGTAAGATTTCACGTTTCCGACCCTGTCCGAGGTGACGAATCCATCTCCATTATGTCTCATCACGTCACATTTACAGACCGCACCACGCCTTATCACCCGGGCTGTTCCGGTCTTTGTTTCTGCACTATCACCAGGCGGATGTGGGTGGGGTGGGGAGGGGTTTATCGACTCATGCCCGCGAGACATAAGGCAAAAACTGGGGTCTGCATGCCCTTTTCGTAAGGCGTAATCAGGCATTTTTAGTCTTCGTAATCCGTAGGCATCCTCCCCAAAAATCAACGTAATAGTACATTAGCCACAAAGCGTAAAGTCGTAATCAGCTCTGACACTTCATTCGTAACCGGCGACGAAAATTTTGCGTAATTCCTAATCACTACCCCCCATGCAGACCCTCAAGAAAAGCAACCAATAACAGATCAATCAAACCCAGCGACTCTACCTGTCACTTCAGACACCTGCTTCTGTGATCCTCACCTCAGAACAAAGACTATCAAGTTGTGATGTGGTTTAGATAAGTTAAGGGAAAATGAAGATGTCTTCAATCTTATCTCAATAAGGGTTAACGCTTCCGTTTTGGATCTTACTCTCAGATTGTATCAAAGAACTTTCGGAATCAGACAGTTTTCTAGAAGTAGTCTGGCCACATCGTCGGCCTTTAGTTTGGTGTTGAACATATCTATATATGTGTATGATAGAAATTTGGATCGTGTTCGGACAAAGAACATATTGATACTAGTTTCACAAATACATGTAGTGATACCATTGTAGAATTTAGTGCACTGACTATGAATTAAAGCTTAGTACAACAGTAGTATGAAACTATGAACAACTTCAGATCTCTCTAATGAAATTTGATACCTAGACATGATATTTAATATCTGATAGAATAGTCATTTTTACCTATTGTCTGTAAAGAATAAGTTCAGAAATTTGACGGAATATCTAAAGAAAAAACCAAACGACATTTTGCATATGCCACCTTACTTTCGCAAATAGACTAACATCTATGCGAGGATCGTAAGGATTGTTCGGGGCTAATTTACGAAGATTTTTAAGCACGCTGAACTTGTTTGAGGTTCTCACTCCCGCAGGCCTCGAAATTAAGTTTTCTTCCTATTGTCCCAGCACTGTTCCAAAAATAGATTTCAATTGTCAAGAAGTAAGGATGAACTGTCCCAACCTGTTTTTTTGTATTGTATTGTATGACTTCAACTTGAAGTCAATTTTATTTTGCTTATGTTCACTCCCACCCGCACTATAATTGCAGTGCGGACAGGAAATTTGGGGGGACTTTTCCGGATCCAAAAGCCGGGACGTGTGCCTGATAAATTACAAAAGAAGGGCTGACATTCTAATGTTGATTATTTTTCTATTGTCCCAAAGTGTATTTTTAGTTGTCCTATCCTAAATTTTAGTGGTCAGTGGCCATTGGACCACCTTTAATTTCGAGCCCTGCTCTCAGTTGCCAATTACGAGCTCGGCAGGTTTGTGTTTCTTTAAGATGTGTGTTGGGTCTTTCAGCAAGTTCTTAAGGATTCTTCGGCTTGCCAAATAATTAGCATACTTACATCATCAAGGGACCGCAAGTGTTGGGAACCTGTGCTAATTGTTCAGGTGGAAATACCTCGGAATGACTGAATAAATGAGTGAGTGGACAGAAAGATGGATGTACCACCAAATTCCTTTTTGTCTCGTTCCCACATTCTGTTGGTTCACCTGTTGGTTCTGACAATGTGTAGCGTTGCTCAAGTCTTCGGTATGACCCGGCCGGGGTTTTGATCCCCTCTAAAGCTATATTACTGCTTTCTCTGCTTAGTACTGCATGGTAGTTGAACACACAGTGACCTGTTGTAGTGCTTGCATAACTGTGTGGCCCAAGGGCTATGAAAACGGAGATGTGCGCCACCTTATACACCTATGGGAAGGATTTTAAGCCTTAAAAGCAGTTTATAAATATGCGTGATGCAGATGTGCGTACACGTCCATGTAATTGTCAATAACATGAAGAATTCGTTAGATAGAATACTTTTAGTTTGTTCACGAAAATCCTACGTTGAGCACCTTTGACTGTTGGTTCCAGTACTAACACTTCCTACTTAATGCTCATGTAAATGTTAATAACATGACGATTTCCTTAGATATATTTTCAGTTTAGTCACCTACATTGAGCACCTTTGACTGTTGGATTCAGTACTAACCCTTCCTACTTAATGCTCATATAAATGTTAATAACATGACGATTTCTTTAGATACATTTTCAGTTTGGTCACCGAAATCCTACAACTGTTGGTCCCAGCACTAACACTTCCTACTCACCTCCTAACAAAGTATATTTATTTAAAGAAGTCTGTTACATATCAGGTGGTGCGGTCCCGGGTGAAGACGACGTGTAAGTGCCACGGCGTGTCGGGGTCCTGCAGCGTGCAGACCTGCTGGAGACAGCTCGCCCCCTTCCACGAGATCGGCGACGTCTTGAAGAACAAGTACGAGAAGGCCATGAAGGTGGTGAGCATGACCAACGGGGCCGGGGAGCGAGCGCAGCTCATGAACGAGCCCGTCGGTAACGAGGCGCCCAAGGGCCCGAAGAACAACGACATGGTCTTCGTCGACGATTCCCCGAGCTACTGCAAAAAGGGGAAATATTCGTACGGGACGAGGGGGCGGATCTGCGACAAGGAGAAGAACTGTGACAGCATCTGTTGTGGAAGGGGACACAACACGCAGAGTCTGATAATCAAGAGACCATGCCAGTGCCAGGTCAAGTGGTGTTGTTACGTCGAGTGCAAAGAATGCAACACAAGAGAAGAAATATACATGTGTAAATAACGCTTCTAATAATAATTCGCCTAGCCTGGGTACCATCCTACTTGTATGCCGGGGCTCCCATACTCGCTTCCCTAAGGGATGCGAGTGTGGGAGCCCCGGCATACAAGTAGGATGGTACCCAGGCTATAATTCGCCCACAGTTCCTATATCTAAGTTTCTTTTCGTGAAGCTTATGTATTATTGTCACTTGTTTCTTGTACATATACTTTTCAAACAGAATGTGTTGTATACATATTCCAGAACGGTTAAAGATGAGAGTAATAGTGTAGAAAAAATGTTGTTTTTGAATGTTTGGCTTCCAGAAAGGAAGGTGTTGAAGACGTATTTATTTATCAGGAGGAAAATTGTGTTGTGTAAATGTGGAACGTTCTGTTACTGTCAAGAGGAAGATTCTTTTTACAATGGAGTATCATTAAAAAAGCATTGGCTAAAACAGATTTTAAAAACGTGCAAATATGAAGCATAGAAAGTTGGAATAGCGTAGCACTATGGGTTTTTTTGTTGAGTTTACCTATACCCGAACAATAGTTGCGTCTAACTTGTATACTTTCTTGGTATAACTTGCCGCCATACTGAAATAGCTATGCTCTGTCGCTTTATTCAACTGAATTCTGTAAAAAAAAATCTTGAGTTGCATACTAAAACAATTTTGTAAAAATGTATAGCATGCATTCGTTGTGGCAAAGGATTGGTTTTGGATATATTAAGAAAAAGAATTGAAGAAATGGAAGATTTGAATTATCATTTTAACGATTTTGTACATAATTGTGTCATATCCCTGTGGGGCAGCCATTTTGGGATGACTATTATGGGATGGCAACGTTGTGCGCAGGCGCAAACATTTGCGTCTGCGCACTGGGTAGTTAAGCAAATTTCTTACAGAAAAAGATTAGAAGACACGATCGAGCCTTCTATTGGTTTGGGATATGATTTTAGCATATAGATGAGCACTTACAAGCGTTTATCTTCACAAACGTGTTAACAACAGCAGTAGATCACCATGTACATAAATTTGTTTAGTTATCGTAGCCAGTAATGTGGTGATGGGACGTCAGTCAATGCGAAACGGTCAGTAACAACTAAATTATCTCGCCTGTATGACCTTATGTTGATTCGTTTACAGACTTATTAATTCTTACCCCCCACAATGCTTTCAAACTGCCTTCCTGTTTCTGGACCAAAGAAAACGTTTTTACCCGTTTTGTCAATCCAAAAGGCAGAGGGACATTAGTTTTCCTTACTTATAGCAAGATGGCACATTGGCATTACTGTGAAGCTATCGTAAGCAACATTTGCAAGCATATATATTTCATAAAATAATTTAAAAAAATCAATGGTCACAAAATGGTATTGCTCGTGGGCAAGCCTTTGGAGTGTATGCATTTTAGGTAAGGCGGTGGGTTCTAAAAAAGATAAATACGAAGGGATAAAATGGACTAAAAAGAGACAAAAACATTCCAAGCCCTTTCTGTCCTTGGAAATGGAAATAGCCCTTACAGTTGGCTTGACATTGATCAGTGCACAAAGAGGGCACCCCCCCCGAAGAGTACTATTGATAGGCGTGCAATTCTTTTAAAGAATCTGTATTTTTTCCTCTGTTGCTGTTTTAATTTATTTCGTGGCTGAGTCTGAGCATTATTTTCTTGGTGAGAGGGACCGCATTTTCTAAGATGAACTGGAGAATGTAATAAATGCATTCCTTCTCTTTTTATACCACTGCAATTGGTCTGGATTTATTTTATGTTATACATCACGGTGTGAAGTGAGAAATGCATACTAGTACACACACATACTAGTAGGCACACACACACGGACACACACACACACATACATACATACATACATACATACACACATACATACATACACACATACATACATACATACATATATACTGTGATTTGCATACAGACGCGCAATACATACATCCGTTCACAGATAGCTTAGATGAGAGAAATTCACAAACTCCCATCCATTTCTTTATCACATACAAGATTTAAGCGGCCTTTATGTAAATCTATCACAATGCTAGCTAGAACAAAAAAGTCTTAGGGATCAAGTCTTAGGGATCTATATCTAGCGTCAAAACTCTACTATCAAATCAACATCTACATATTGTATACCCATTGCAAATATGTATTTTTTTTTCTAATCATTGCAAAGTGAACCTGGTCTTAACATCGTATATCGATGATTTTCGGTTCAATATAATGTCACATCAATTCCCCTCGCTTAAGTGCACAGACACATTCGATCCCAAAATTATCAGATACATTATACATTATACATAATTGCATGGTACATAATTAATTGTCATAAATCTCTAAGAGTTCAACAAAAAACTGTTTACAGCAGTCTTGAACTTAGTCATATTGGGACTGTCAGGGAAGACCGAGGCTGGTAAGGAGTTCCACAGCCTGCTAGTCCTTGGTACATATGAGGACATGTGAAGCTGAGTGTTGGATTTTGGAACTTTTATTGGGAGACAAAAGAAGGAAAATATGTAACACTGTTTTGCAGCTTGTCCACAACTATGGATGCTGTTTTGTAACTTCTGTAACAAAATAGTTCAGTTGTAACGCAAGGATTCTCTCAAATCCATCTCCGGTGTGCCTATGACGACGTCCGTCGAAAAAGGGCGGGCTTTTTCCTCATGACGTCATCATCAGACGACAGTGATGAAAAAAGGGGACATTGTAGGCGCTTTCTTGGGGGAAATTTCCCTATTTTGTAAGTTATGTAACAAAGTAGCTCTGTAATGCTAGGATTCGATTCTTTCACATATTTGCGCCGTTCATTGCAAAAAGACGGACTTTTTCCTCATGACGTCATCATCAGACGACAATGATGAAAAAAAGGAGGACATTGTAGGAAATTTTCTTGTGGGAAAATTCCCACGGTTTGGGCGTAGAGATCCCGGGAGGCACGAGACACACTAAGTCCCTGCACGATGTGCTGATTTCGATCGATAGTATGGCACAAAGTACACAAAATAAACAACAGGTCTTTGATAAGGCTGTATTGTTGCCGTGACATGCCAGACCCCAGAGAGCAATCCATCAACCAGCCCAGTTTTGACAGCGAGCATTTGTACTATGTGGACATCAAAACAGCCGAGGGAACAGAAAATACAATTTGTGTATATATAACACACGGAAATGGTCTTCGCGCCCGTAGTCTGAACTATAGACAGAGGGTGAAGCGTTCGTGAAGTTTCGGTAATGTTCGTCAAACTTCGCGACAACTTAGGTGGCCATCTGAGAAGAGTACTAGATTTAGCTATGTTATAAAAAATAAAGTCCTCAACCGCATCAACCAATCACAGTAACCATTATCTATTGACGTATTTTTTTATATCCAACAATTTCAACAATCCAATCAGATTTCGATCAAGAAAACACTAGCTGTCAAACTACCGGATTGACCGGTATTACCTTATCTATATTCCACCGTCAGGAGTTTTTCTTTCTCCAGAGGTAGCGACGGGGAATGGCGGGAATGCGGCCGGGACAATCACGCAAGCACGCGTGGAGACTAGCCTCCTTCGCAGACTTGTAGGGGCGGCGTTATGTTTTTTTTCGGTGAGCGACGCGAGTTATGCCGCGGAGGGACGAATTTGCAGCGGAGAGAAGGTTTCGCGCTCCAACAAATCTCTTTTGAAGGCTGGCTTAATCGCAAGTCCTTTTGGTTGTCGACTGCAAGCAGACTTGTTGGAGCGCGAAACCTTCTCTCCCTCCACGGTATAACTCGCGTCGCTCACCGAAAAAATAACGCCGCGCCCTACAAGTCTGCGAAGGAGGCTAGCGTAGAGACGACCCCGTGGAAAACACGGAGAGACGGGGGGAACAAAGGAACGGGAACCACACATGATGAAGCGATATTAGCACCAGAAAATCCGCCGGCAGACCATTGTCTGTAGATATGTGGGAAATGCGGGGAGCGTTTTCTAGATCTAGGCGTAAAATGAGGAAGTGAGGTGGTTGGCCAAATGGGTGGGGAGGGGGGCGTTCTTCGCTCTGTCGCTTTTTTTCTAAAGACAGGTAATCATTTAGGAAGTCAGCCTTCCTAACTTAACCACTATCTACACCAGGTGTTTTGTTTAAGGTGAAGTTTGGGGAAGTGCGCCTTGTGGTTAGGACCTCCCTTAAGCGTTGGCATCTTCCAACGACTGTGTAAGAATCGTTCACAATTTACCACTAGGTGGTCTGAAAAATCAGTCGATTACTAAACAATATAAATTGCTGTATGGGACAAAGGCATAATTGTATAAATGTTTTGTGAGATCGCAATCGTAATACAACTATGTTTTAGATCATGACCTATAACGTTAATAAAAGTTTAATACTGAAAAGTTTTGAATTAGACAAAACACGATTAGATACATTTGGTAAGAAATCTACCACCAATTTCAACGCAGTCCTACTATGTAACAAGTATGCAGTTGATGAAATGAGTTCGTAACGTCGTCAAATGACAAGTATACTAGGAATTCATAAACTAGATTCTACACTGTCTCTGTAGAATTCTCAGTGCTGATACCTACCATTGTGAACGATACTATGGTCTTCACATGTCACAAATCAATGGAAACCATTATACTAGAATTTCTGACGACCGTACGTACAAAGTATATACATTGTACTAGGAATTCACAAACTAGATTTTACACTTTCTCTGTAGAATTCTTAGTGCTGATACCTACCCTTGTGAACGATACTATGGTCTTCACATCTCACAAATTAATGGGAACCATTATACTAGAATTTCTGTCGACCGTACGTACGTTTGAACAGAATCGATATAGAAAATAGACAGATTTGGACCGTTTTATCTTGTATAATTTTCTCCTGACACGGAGGTTAAGACTGGTATGAAAAAGCCACACGGTTTACCTCCCCCGTGTAGGCATGTGATTACGGCTGTCAAACTACGTCAAAATGATTGACAGTTCGGACGGACGACAAGCAGTGGCGCATCGATTTTTGTTGGCCAGTTAGCGCTTAAAATCCAATAGTTTACATACGAACAAAGGCCGACCTGGGGGCGAAAAGCCGTCCGCACATATTTGTCATTTTTTTCTCAAATGCCTCACTTAGTCATTTGATAAGAATTATGATGACTCTATCGACCGGGAGAAAAACACACGCACAGTCGTGCGGGGAAGAGTCAACAAGGTGCCAAGGTCGAAATGCTGTTGAGATCCAGCGGTGCTTCTGAGAAAAAGCGCACCATGCGGCTGTATAGAAAAATGCATACCTAAAATTGAACCGCGACGGGGGTCGACATCGTCTACCAGATACCTTTGACCCAGTGCTGACGTCACACTTCAAAGAAGCCACGTGACAAGCTTCACTGGGTCAGTCTACTGAGGAAGACCAGAGTGGCTGGTCGAAAGCTCTAGCTGAGAGAATTTCTTGTGTTGGACCAAAAGTTTTAACTTTAAACACATACCTAAAATTGTTGCGAACAATTTTAGCAGGTAAGGCCACACCAAGTAAATTTTATGGATGACGTCCTTTGGAGACCCTAAATCTAATGCGAGAGGGTGAGAAAAAAACAAGAAGGGCCCTAAAAAACAAGATGCCTAGATTAGAAATATACTAAGAGATGACAAATTTTAGGACACAAATTGAATGAGGTGACACAGTGTAACAAGCAAAGAAGTCTTTAATTCATCATCAAAACAGCAATAAATCAGGTGGAACAGCAGTTGTCGTCCTGTCCTGTTTTCGCTTTACGGGTTTCACGTCAATTAATCTGACGATTGGCACTGTCGTGACTCTTTGGTCATAGTTACAGGAAGCGGAATTTCTTGGGTTTTTTTTCTAGGAACAGGCCAAAATCAATGCGCGCGTGGACGTCATCCATAAAATTTACTTGGTGTGGCCTAATAGTTTACTTACATGGTTGCTCCTCCGATGTTGCTGGCTGATGTGTAGAATGTTGTGCTCCATTAAAAACGCCAACAATGTAGTAAGATTCCACGCGATCCATTTGAAATCCGAATAAAAGTGCCGTTGGTAATCCTACGGACGATCCCTCTGGAACATCCATACATCCACTATGACTCGATCGACGGGGTTTAGATAATCATTCCGTCTTTTCCCATCTGGAAAATAAAAATGCTCATCATGAGATATGAAGATGTATATACTGTACATCGTGTGGGCGAAGTTTGATAGGTAAACTCTGTGTGAAGTCATTGGTCTACAGTATCTCTGTCAGCTTTGTCGGGATTTCTATTTTGTCAGCTTCTCTTTTCAACCCCCGAAGGTTGAAAAAAAAATAGAAAACCGTGTGGAGTAACGGCTCGAACCCAAGAGGTCCCGGGTTCGAACCCCACCTTGTCACCGATCTTGTGCCCTTGGGAAAGGCACTTTACACGACTTTCCTCAGATCGGTGAAAATTAGTACCTAGCTTCGGTTAGGGCCGTCCCTCGGATAGGACGTTAAATGTTGAACATGGGAGAGCCACACACCACGCAGGTTAAAGAACTCACCACACTTATCGAAAGAGTATGGATAATATTTTGTAACTTATATTTAACAAAATGGCTCTTTCTTTTGGCGTAGGCCAGTACCTCCCCCAACCCCCAAAAAGTTGACAAAATGGAAAGCCCGCTAAGCTGCTCAGTAGGACATACCTTCTGTGCTAGGAGACGGTACGTCGGCCTT